AATAGGATGAAGTTTAATAAAGACAAATGCAAAGTGCACCACTTAGGAAGGAACAATCAGTTTCACACTTACAGAATGGGAAGCGACAGTCTGGGAAGGAGTATGGCAGAAAGAGTTCTAGTGGTTATAGTGGACCACAAGTTAAATATGGGTCAGCAGTTTGATGCTGTTGCAAAGAAAGTAAAAATGATTCTGGGATGTATTAACAGGTGTGTTGTGAGCAAGACACGAGAAGTCATTTTTCCGCTCTACTCTGCGCTGGTTAGGCCTCAATTGGAGTATTGTGTCCAGTTCTGGGCACCGCATTTCAAGAAAGATGTGGAAAAATTGGAGAGGGTCCAGAGAAGAGCAACGAGAATGATTAAAGGTCTAGAGAACATGACCTATTATGGAAGGCTGAAGGAATTGGGTTTGTTTAGTTTAGAAAAGAGAAGATTGAGGGGGGACATGATAGCAGTTTTCAGGTATCTAAAAGGGTGTCATAAGGAGGAGGGAGAAAACTTGTTCATCTTGGCCTCTGGGGATAGAACAAGAAGCAATGGGCTTAAACTGCAGCAAGGGAGGTTTAGGTTGGACATTAGAAAAAAGTTCCTAACTGTCAGGTTGGTCAAACACTGGAATAAATTACCCAGGGAGGTTGTGGAATCTCCATCTGTGGAGATATTTAAGAGTAGGTTAGATAAATGTCTATCAGGGATGATCTAGACAGTATTTGGTTCTGCCATGAGGGCAGGGCACTATACTCGATGACCTCTCGAGGTCCCTTCCAGTCCTAGTATTCTATGAGTATTCTATGAGTAGACAAGTGCTTCTCTGACAACATTGGAAATCCTTTCCTCTACAGAAAGAACCATCTCCACTCACGCATCACTCAGTCCTTGGACCTAAGTAAGGACCTGAATTCTTGTCTATATTAGCATTGTTTGGATATCAGTAAAGCAGTTCAGAAATTAAGTAGTTAAAATGGTGCAAATCTCTTATGTGAGCTTCTTATTTCAATTTAGCCGAAGTCAAATAATTCACCAGTTTAAGCTAAATCTAAAAGGTATTCTTTAAACATAATAAAACTTTATAGAGGGAATGTGGCACCAACGTAACTAAATCAGTTTCTAAACTGATTCAATTATACTGGCATGATTTATCATGAACACATAAGTTTGATTAAAGCCCAAAAAAGCAAAGGGACAGACATGTTGGTTTTCATTCATTAAAACAATGTCCATATAAACAGTTTTCCAACACTCAAGTGAATAGTTGAATAAAATCAGAATAAATAAGAGAATAATTTCAACCAAGTCTTCATTATTGTCAATGGGATGGGATGAGTTAGATCTAGATCTCTTGCAATTTGGATAAACTGAAGTCAAATGGTTCTTGTGAAAATGTATGGACCAAAACCAAGTCCATTGATTGCCTACCTCAGCTACAAGCAAAATGTCATCCCTGATCTTTTTTGCCCCATTCCAATCCATCTAAGGGTCAGGAAATCAGCTAAGGCTGTGTCTAGACTGCAGGGTTTTTTCAAAAAAAGTGGCCTTTTTTTAAAAAAAACCTTCACCTGCGTCTAGACTACAGCCGCGTTCTTTCTAAATTAAATTTAGAGAACGTGGCTTTCCTTTCGACGGCGGTACTCCTCATTTCATGAAGAATAACTCCTTTTTTCTAAAATGCTCTTTCGAAAAAAGGCGCTATGTAATGCAAACTGTGCTTTTTCAAAAGAGAGCATCCAGACTGCCTGGGTGCTCTTTCGAAAAAGTGGCTTGCTTTTTCAAAAGTACTGGTTGCAGTCTAGATGCTCTTTTTCGAAAGAGGCTTTTTTTAAAGTATCTTTCGAAAAAGCCTCTTTCGAAAGAGGCTTGCAGTCTAGACGTAGCCTAAGAGATGTTTCAGGCTTTATCACATTTCCAAGTACTCTATAACAGCTTCAACAGTATAGTTTTATTATTAACAGTCAGTATACAAACAACTGGAAAAGTACAAGTCCTTTAAATAAGGCTATTAAGTCAAGTGATTAATCAAAACAAATTAACTTGCTTCAAAATTAATTGCTATTAATCCAAGTTCAATTGCATTGTTAGTCAATACAAAATATAAATGTATCATAAACATTTCAGATGTTTTTCTACATTTTCAAATTTTTTTATTTCAGTTACAATACAATATAAAATGTACAGTGCTCACTTTTTATTTTATTGCAAATATCTTTACTGTAATAAAGATAAAAGAAATATTACTTTTCAGTTCACCTCATACAAGTATATTTAATGTGCAATCTTTTATCATGAAAGTGCAATTTCCAAATGTAGAATTTTTTTTTTACATAACAGCACTCAAAACCAAAACAGTTTAAAACTTCATAGCCTACAAGTTGACTCAGTCCTATTTCTTGTTTAGTCAATTGCTACAAATAGACAAGTTTGTTTACATTTGCAGGAGATAATGCTGCCTGTTTCTTATTTACAATGTCACCTGTATTCTGCATATTTGAAAATGTAGAAAAACATCCAAATATGTGTAATAATTTATATTTTTATTCTATTCTATTAACAGTGAGATTAATACTGATCTTTTAAAATAGTTTGACAGCCGTTCTTTTAAAACATTCCCTTTCCCTAGCATACTCCCTGTCTACATCTGCACTTGAAAGGGAATCCTCTGAACTGTCATTCATGTTAAAATTCGACACTTACCAACAGGGACTTAACAAGTCTTTGAACTTTCTCACCCATTACCAAGACAGTTTCCCCAATTATCACCTGTAATACCATTAACTCACAAACATCCCACTCTCCCTACCTTTAATA